CTTTGGTGTTAAACAAAATTTATTGCACGAAAAGTCTCGTAAGTACTAGAAAACAAATCATAAAAATATTATAACCTATAGGTATTCAAAATTGTATTTTACCAGTAGCCAACCTATAAAATCAAAATTTTGGGTGGAATAAAGTATCTCATTAAAGAACCAAAAGCGGTGTTATAATGAAGTCATTATGAAACCAAAATAGATAAATAATATTATGACTGCAAATAAAAAATTGTGTTGTCGTCTCGTTGCTAAGCGACGAGTTTAGTGAAAGGAGGGGTAAGAAGCTTGCGTGGGAGATCGGAATTTCAAACAAATACCCCTTATTTTATCATATTTTCAAGCTTGGAACATTGGTGGGTAGATGGCGACACCTTACGGACACATTTTCTTGTAAATTAATAATAATACGCCTGGCACAGATCATCCTACCACCTTGCGTCTCTTCACACACTTTACTCAATGATTGCGTCTGACACCGTCTGAATTAACCACAAATTCCCACTCACCATTACAACAGGTTTTTTGAATATTTTTTCCTTTAATGTCTAAATTAGAAATGCAAAAAATAATGATTAAGCGCCCGCATCCGAAAAAATAAAGAATCAAAAATAACGTCAAATCGCCATGCGAATAAGGCGGGCCATTCCAAACAACTCCGGCAGCATGCAACTGAAATCCGTCCAAACATCGACGCAGGAGAGCTACTCACGCCCTTCTGGCCAAAACATCATATGGTACTTACTAAAATATGTTGTTATCACATATGGTAATTACTTAAATATGTTGTTATTACATAAGGCGATAATTTGTAAATTTAAATAAACTTATTATTGATTTTGATTTGATTTGGTCGCTTGGCATGCGAGAGGTACCGGGTTCGATACTAGAAGTTGTCAAACTTTTTTTATTTTTTTACTTTATAAATTTGTTGTTCCATTGTTAACACGTTCACTGCTTACCATATTCACTTACCCGTTCCCAGGAGCTGACTGTTTATTTTTCATAAATCAGTATTTTGCTGATCACTATCTAAGAATATAGGCTTATAATATTTTTTTTTACTGCTCTTATCTGTTTTGATGAAGAAACGCGCCAGGCGCGTCGGTAGCATTGCTAATGGCCGCTAATGCTTATGATGCGTCAATAAAAAAAGCATTTAGGTGAAAAATAAACTTTAATTTATATTAAAAACATAAAAAGTACATACAAAAATATTAATTTAATATTTCGTGATATTCCTGGAAGCAAGGTTCCATGCATAATCCTATATTACATGCTTTACATTCAAAAACTGTATCTTGTCGTTTACCCTGAGAAGAACAATATCTACATCTTTTTCTCAGTGTTTTGCCGCCATCACCAGATTTTTTGAGGCAATGACTAGCATAATGTAGAATTCCAATTTTTTTTCATTACCATTGACAAAAGATTTTTTATCACTTCTAATCTGAAGTCATAAAATGACTTTCTAGGTGCATGATATTTTTTGTGCAATAAATAAGAATTTAATAATAATAATTGCATTATATGCGACCCAATTTTTTTTTACCAACGAACAGTTCTTGCGCATGGATAATATGCCATAAATTGGTGTTGCCTATCTATACCTCCCATAGATTTATTGTAATGAACAATTGGTAAAGGTTTAGTTTTTTCATTTCCTCTTTTGTCATTATATTGGGTAAATACGTTAGCAAATTCAGTAAAAATATAATTTACATCTCTTTTGTCATGCCAACGTGCTATCATTGTCATTGTCATTGGCATTGTCATTGGCATAACGAGCGATTGTCTCACCCTTTTTTAATATGGATGTTTTTACCTCAAGTGGGCTATTTTTACGATCAAGTCCCAGTAGTATATGTATTTTTTGATAGAAGGTCCAAGGATAAGTCAAAACTATTATAAAAGTTATCCATAAACAATGCGTGTCCCACATTTAATTTATTATCCATTAAATTTAGGACAACTATTATAAGTTTTTATGAAATGCTTTAAAGCAGTTTTTTTCTTTTGTAAGGCAAAAGAGCATTGCACATTTTTCACACATAGTTCGCAATAACACTGAACACAATTTCTGCACCTTTGCTTTGGTTCAATGTGAATTGGAAAATGTCCAACTCTATCATATCTGACGCCATTGATAGGAAGTTAAACTTTGGCTTGTTTCTTCGGAGGTGGTGTTTCTACTGAAAATTACACTGCTGATAAAGGTCATCCGCGCTTTAGTATATTCTCTTTATGAGCTTTGATTAAGCTATTAACGATTCAGATCTAAATTACACTGAAAATTTTAATATTAGGCCACTTGGTTCAGTAAGCATATACAATTTTATGCCATATTTATGGTGCTTGAACCATTGATTCATCTATTGCCAAATTTTTGTCTGGGTAGTATATATTGTTCATTTTAGAATTAAAATAATTAATTATGGGTCTTATTTTGTATAGTCTATCAGCTGGTTTTGGCTCATTTTCACCTGAATTTTGTGCAAAATGCAAACATCTTAATATTATTAAAAATCTGTCCCTGCTCATGTAATCAGAGAAACAGCAAAAGTTAAAAAGTCTATCAGTTTTTCAGTAATCCTGAATTCGTGCTAATTTAACTAAATTCTTCTTTGGAAATGGGTTTCCATGTATTTATTCGCGCATGTTCTTCCCCTTTACTCAAAAATAGTTCAATTGCATAATGATTTGTCTGCTCAATAATTAGTTAATAAAGCTCGTCATCAAACAGTAAATTAAAGAAATCCATTGGAGAATCACATGAAAAAAATATATTTTAAAATCTACCCTAAATACCTTGGGTAAAAAATAAATTTTTATATACTATTCTTACTAAATATTTTATGTTATTTACCTGGATCAGGCACCAAAAGTTCATTGGCTCTTGTGAATTGGAAAACTTTTAAATTTTCCTTTTTGTCCCATTGTACATTTAAAATATCAGGTTGTGACTGAAGGTTATTTGACTGTATTAGGGTTGTAGAGTCTGGTGCACTACTAGAAATTTTTGTAGACGGTGTCATTGACGGTGAAGTTGCCACAGTTAAATCATCCAAATAATCATCTGTTGAACTTTCATCATTCTGGTTAACTTCATCGATAAATGTGGGATCCTCTAAATTGTCATCGGGTTTGTATAACATTCTTTCCAACTCTTCTTCTGTCAAAAATCTTTTAAAAGTAGGCTTTGTACTGGTTTTGGGGCGTTTTGCTCCGGAGGGACCAGCTACAGGTTCATTCATAATTTTAAGGCAAACCAGAGGCAAAAATAAATAGTTTATACTGTTCTTAAAACACAACACTAAACAATCACATTTACTTCACACGACCGACATACACAGCGTGAACGTAAACGATGTACTAAACGCACTCAGCGCGGCGGCAGCACTGATTGAAATACACTGTTGCCGCGCTGTACGCGTTAGCAGCAGTCAACATTGTTGTTACTTTGTGTTGGGTTGGGTTGGTTGGTTTGTTTTAGTTTTATCGTAACATAAAATCAAAATTATTTTGACGTTGGCGTAAAAATAAAAATTAAATTATGTTCACGTTAGCGTGAGAATAGACACCGTTAAAAAATATAAAAATTACAATAAAATACTGTCATTTATTGTTTTCTTATAATTAATCAAATTTATCTCATAAACAATTTAATCTGACTTGTAGGAAATTAAATTCTCTACAAAAAAGGTTCTTAAAATTTTGGTCAAGTCAATAGATTGGGATAAAAAGTCGAAAAACCACGATAATGGATATGTTAATAGTATATATATATATATATATATATATATAGATTTTTTTTGTTTGGGACCTTTTTACTATTAACATATCCATTATACAGGTTTAAGTTTCGAAAAAGTTCATGTAGAGGGCGCTGGTTTTATACGAATTTTGGATATACAGCGGGTATGTTTGTAGCCTCTTGGTGAGCCGTAAGTTTGGAAACATTGCGAAAATTATCGTAAAGCGCTGTATTTGATCAACTTCTCGGCTTTGATGTTTTGATTTGGCTTAAATGTTTTTACCAAAATCTACTTTTATGCACGGAATTTTTGTGTGAAATAGTATTTAAATATATAAATATTTAAAAACTTTTCAGTAGGTACAAGTTTAAAGCTAACCATCTTTAAGAGTGTTAAAAAGTATATCTGTGATAAACAATGTTTTTCCGAACGATTATCCACTTCGTTTGTAGTATGTTTATTAAACATACTACAAACAAAGTGGATAATCGTTCGGAACTTTCCGGATGATAATAAAAAATATTCATTTGGAAAGTTCCGGATGAATAGGGACAACAAAATAGCTGGATTTATTAATGTTATCTTAATGGTAACATTGTAATTAATTTTCTTTTAGTATAAACATAATAAATGTTTATTAATTTATTTGTAAATACATGGCCATGTTAGGCATTTCATCATTTTATTAAAATTTAAATTTATGTCATGTAGGTAGGTAATGTTCAAAAAACATTACCTACAAATATTGTTTATGTTATGAAATGATAATTTCTATATTTTTATAAAATACTTAACATGACCATGTATTTACAAATAAATTAATAAACATTTATTATTATTTCTTTTTAATTTTAAGTTCAACAAAGCAAGTCAACTAAAATAAAACATGTACAACTGTTAAACTCATTTTTTATTTAATTTAAAAAAGGTTATATAATAATATAAATAAAAAACATTATTTTTTTTATAAGCATTGTAAACAAATGCTTTTATAACAACCCAGTTGCCATCTTTAAACAATGTTTTAAATTGTTTTTTGAAATCCTCAACTTTATTTCTTTTTGGAGATTTTATTTTTTTATTATTTTATTTCTTTTATATGATTTTTAAAATGTTTCAAAATTATTGATTTTTAATCTTTAGGCCATCTTACTCTTGTCAACGTCTTCTTAGAAGGCTTATCTGGAAAAAACAAACAATTATTTCTTAAAAGGCAAGTGTTTAAAAAAAACACCACAAATTTCTTCATGAAATATGCGAACCTTCGCACTTGGCTTTAGAAGGTCCAGAAATCTTCATATCCTCATTGTCGGTCATAGAAGTTCCAGAAGTGTTTATATCTTTTGTTAAAGTGTTGGTGGGGTTTTTAATACATGTTTTGCGACTATTGAAATTACCAAGAGATTTATTGTCTGAATCACTCTCTGAATCTACCAAATCATTTTTAGACACCTTAATGTCATTTAAGGATTTGCCTTTAAACTGGGATGAGTCGCTTTTGTTTATTGCCATCAAAATTTTGGACACTTTGGCCGTTTGGTAAACGTCTTGTGAAAGTCTAAATTTATTAAAAATAATTTGAATATAAAAGTTAAAACACAAAATAACAAATAGTTTACAATAATAGTTCAGCGAAGCGCAAAAAGACTTCTTGGCCGAATGGCATACAATATTTTATCTTTACTGTTTTATTTGTTAAACGATTTAAAATAATAAATGAAACGAACAATTGAGGAGTGGTTTTTAAAAACTCTACAAATGCAAAAAATTTTAGAAGCATTTTTGAAACTCAGCAGTTAATTTATAAATTATAAAATTTGTTTCCTCAAAAATAACTTTTTTATTTTGTTGAGCAACAAATGCAAACATTCTAAACTCAGCAGTTAATTTATATATTATAAAAATGTGTTTTCTGAAAAATCACTTTTTAACCCCAGCAGTTAATTTATAAATACCTACCTTAGTCCCATAATTGAATATTTCTGACTATAGCTATCAAACTTACCGATAATATTCTGCGTGGGTCTTTTGTGTATGACCCATAAAGTTTGCGAATTGCTCCATGTCAGTTTCTGAAAAATTGGAGACTTGCAGAACCATTGCAATTTGTTTACATAAGCGAGTAGATGTAAATAAGTCTTTGTTTGAAGTTCCTGACTCTTCAGCCAACTTTTTTATAACATGGTATCCACTAAGCCATCTGTCCTTAGTTGATGGGTTTGCAAACAAATTCTCATTAGATGGGTGCACTATGTCAGCCCTTACTTCTAACATTAGTTGTATTAAATTTTGGAAAAAGTATGGCAACGGGCTTACTTCCCTTGCCACCAGTTACTTTTGTTACTACTCGTTTAAAATTTTCACTCAAAATTTGTTCTTGGGGTGTTAAACTAGCTAAAAATTCTGCCTTTATCTACTTTGTTACATCGTTGCAATGGGTTTTGACTTTAAGGTATTGAATAATTCTTTTAAGTAATAAAGTAAGGGCCAAGACACATTCTGTAAGATTTTTGTATTCTTCTTTAATATTAACTTTTTGTTTAATGTTATTATAATTTTTTTGTGCCCGTTCAGTTAAAAATCGGAAATTTAATGATATCCTCTGTCAATGGGAATAATTTGGGTTTTTCCCATTTAAGGCAATACTAGACAATTCAGTATTCCAATGGTTTGTAATTAAGGCTCGAAAGCGTTTTGTGTCGTACCTAGGCTGGTAATGGCCTTAAGTACGCACTATAGGGTCTCTCTAGTTCTTCGACAGAGAAAATACCTACCACGAGTAACTTTACAGTGGAGAAATAGGGTTTGAGAATCAGTTCAGGTTTTGTGGTTTAATTTAAATGCCAAAAATAACTTAAACTTGTTTATTATTTCATATAAATAAATACAATTTATACAATATGTACAAAATCATAAATAAAAGATATATACATAAAAATAAAGGTTTATCGTAGAGAAATATAATACAATTTTATGTGTACGAACCGGTCAATATTTCGTTCTTTGCACCCAAAAGGCAACAGGCAGGTACAGGCTCCGTTTTCCTCCACAGACAGGCAAGGACACTTGCAACTGGGGCTATAAAGAAGAAATATTAAATGCAAAATATATAAATAAGGTTATGTTCACTTGGATTGTAAATGTGGTATGTTAAAAGGATTATAAATGAAAGGACGGGTGGCAGGATTTACAAATAGGTTAAATACGGCATAAAAGCCCAAGCATAACAGCCACAGGTTAACCTACTGTTTTATATCACCAGGAAATAATCCTTATGCATTCAAGTCTCGGTATGGGTTCTTCCAGCAAGTATTCGACCAGTCGGAATTTGAGCCACCAGTAGACTGATTTTAATAATGTCCAAATCAGCCTTTTATAGCTAAAACTTGCAAAAAGAAATACCTACAAGAAGTTTTATTACGATATTCTAAATTTTAAATCATCAAGTTGATGGTTTTCAAAAATCAATTGATTAATAACGATTTTTTTGTATTATAAATATATATTTTTTAAGTCAAAAAAGTTGAAGAGGTAAAAAATATATTATTTACACTCTTTCTTGTAACCAATCAAATCACGTGAGTTAAAAGCCTCCATAGCAAATTATTAAGCTGAAACTGCATTAGCTGAGCTAATACAGGTTTACGGGTACACAACTTAATATTCTTTACCTTCTTTCGAGTCGATAAAATCCTTAGCTTTAGCCTATAGTATCAGACATATTTGGATCGTTTTATTCACTTGCTTCATCTGTTTCGCTTTTTTCCTCTGAACCATTGTCAGACAACTAAGCACAGACTAAACGCATATAAGTTTTCATTCTGAGTAACATTCTAAGCGATGGCAACACTGTAATAAAGTCCTTTCGCTTGCGTTTAGATTTATCCAGTGACGTGCGGCTGTTAAGGGTTCCGCCTTAAAAAATATATAGCACTGATTGATATAAGAATTTTTTGACTTAAAATATTGCAAAAAATTAAAAGGGACTTATAAGATTATACTGTTTATAAAAAAATATATATATTTTTTTTAATTCTTGATTTTAGATTTTTTTAAAATAAAATCAACACTAATTAAAAACATGATTTTTAAATTAAATCTAGTTTTTCCCAATCCTCGTCATCAATACTTTGTAAGGAATTTTCATTACTTTCAGATGGTATCCTAGATGAAAAAAAATACCAGCTTCTCCTAAAAATGTTAATCTATTCCTATATTTGTCCACCAATTTGCCTCGAGCTATACCACTTTTCTTTTCTCGCAAATTCCTTTTCTTTATTTGAGAAGCAAAATATACTTGAGGTAGTTCATTTGGAAATTCACTTTACACAATTTTTTGCGATATTATTCAAAAATCTTAAATACCTAATCTTTTGTAATAAAGAACGAGAAGTTATAACTTCTGAATATATTTAAAACCTTATCTTTCAAATTAATATGTTCGATCTTACATCAATGGCTCAGCATTTATAAAGTGCTGAACAATGATTTCTTCCAAATATGATTGACATTTAGGATTTAAATTTTTTTAAATATTTATAGCTCCTTTATGGCTCTTCCTGTTTTAGTTTTTTCTAATAATTCATACAAATTTAAATTTGATACCCATTCAATAATTGCTGAGGACAAATCAAAAGCATTTAGATTTTTAACCAAGTCCTCTTGAGAGGAAAGCCTTGAATGAGAGGGAGTAGATGTATAAACTGGTACAACTGTGTAATCGTGTGACTCTGGTTAAGGCTGGTTATTTAAATCCAAAATTAAAATTTTATTTGATTGGGTACTTTCTGAGGTACTTTCAGTGTCTAATTGCCTAACATAGAAAAAAAATACGATATAGTATAATATATGTTTACGGAAAGTTTAACCATGGCGCGATGCATGGCTCATAAAATGTTAAAGTTAAGCCCAGAAACAAAAGAGCACCTACCTTGTGGGGATCGTAGTAGACTGTGGTGAAGATGCCCAATGCCCCAGGATGTTACTTGTGATTTTTGGAAAAGCTTGATTAATAGAAACTGTCTTGTAAGATCGACGGTTAATCTTGAATTCAATCGCTAGACTCCCTTATCTAACTAATTTTTTAAATTTAATTCCCTAAATTAAAATAGGCATTGTTGCCATTTTAAAGATTTAAATATTTTTACTGTCCCCTGTCAATATTTATTAAATTGATCCGCTTTAATGTCGAAAAACTACGTTCCGCTTCAGCAGTAGTCATTGGAGTTGTCACAAGAATTTGTAATAGCTTCTTAGTTTCCCCCATTGTTTCTTCCAGGTTATTTGAAATTATAAATTTAAGTAATGGTACTGCACCACGTAAATCTCTACATTCACAATTGGAATATATCACAGAAAGTTCCGTTTTGAGTCGAATTTTATTTAAAACTTTATATGAAGTACAAGTTAAGTCTAACTCTCTCCGAAAATTTGTTATGATATTCCACAAATTTTTCCGAAATCAAAAGTGATGCAGCTACCAAGTGGCCTGTGAAGGCAAAACGTTCCTTTGCGTTGCTTATAATTACGTCACATACCTCTAAACAAGCAATGCGATGATCTAATTTGTTTTCATTAGGGCGTTTCCTTTTTGCGACGGTTGGAGCAATTTCAAAATTCGAAGCTTCTTCTACAATGGAGTCTATTTTATTTCGGATAACATTAATATTTTGTTCAAGCGTTGCTGTGACTGTTTGAGCTGCTGTCGGATCCATTATTCTTTTTTGAAGTTGATTAAATAAAATATCCACATGTGGCATAATATGATGAAAGAACGTTAACCAAAAAGAAAAAATTGGGTCTTGTAACATACGTCAAATTCCTAAAGCTTGCTTACAAGTCAATACGTTAGCCTCTTCTTCAAGTTGTTCCATGCATTCAATGATTGAGTCTCTATATTCATGCACAACATAAACTGTACGAATTTGGAAATTCCAGCGCGTAGGAACAGAACGCGGCATTTTTCTTCCCACAATTTGATCTATTGATGTTGCTTTTTGTTTCGTCTTTATTTGTGACATAGTCAGGGGTGATTTTGGCTAGGAATGCTTCAGAGTTGTTGGTGCTTTCTTTGATGGCGTTGCTGCTATTGATTCTGTTGCCGCTAATGGATTTTATTTTCTTCCACATTGTTTTTGGATCTATTCGATGGTCAATGGTTGCACAGAAGTCTTTCCATCCATTTCCTTTGCTTTTTTTAGTATGTTTTTGGCTTGTTCACAGTATTCTAGATAGTTGTTGTAATTTTCTCTTGTCATATTTTTTTTATAGATGTTAAGTGCTCTTCTTCTTAAAGCTATTGCCCTATTGCATTCGGTTGTCCACCAGGTGTATGTCTCATATTGATGTTGGGTTTTGTGGTAGGTTTACTGTTGTCTGCGGCTTTTTGTATGATTTTTATCAGTTCTTCAAAAGTTATGTTACTAAGTTTTTCGATTTCTATACTTATTTCGGTGGTGTATTTGTTTCAGTCTGCCAGCTTGTAGTTTGTTGTTGTTTTGTGTTTTGACTTTTATAATGCATGGGTAATGATCACTCCCATATGTGTCGGAATGAACTTTCCATTCTATGTTCGTGGCTATGTCTGAGCTACTTAGGGTTAAGTCGCTGCAAGATTTGTTTTGATTGGGCTTTTGGATTCTAGTGGGACTACCATCATTGTGAACGAAAAGATTTTCTTCATTTATTATTTTTTCAATTAATTTTCCTCTTTGATTAGTTTGATTTGATCCCCATAAAGGGTTATGCCCATTTAGATCCCCTGTAATTAACCATGCTTTAATTGGGGCTATGCCAAATATTTTTTTGATTTTGTTTTTTTCAATTTGTTGATTAGGTGAGATGTAGATGTGTTGTAGAAAGTATTTATTATTTATTTCAATTGTCTGCGTTTGTATGTTGTGATCATTTGTTTGTTTTATTAGTTTATAGGGGATGCTTCGGTGGATGACGATAAGTAGACCTCCATGTCCGTCTTGGCGATCATTTCTTATTATGTCATAGTTTTTAAGGGATAGTTTGGTATAGGGTTTTAGCCAGGTTTCGCATATGGTTGCGATATGAATTTTGTTAGTGGTTAGAAAAGAGAAAAGAAAATTCTCAGAGACCTTATCAAGAAGAGAAATTAATGAAATTATCGGTACTGGGAATGACACCGTTAACGATGACGATTTTAATCCACCGGCAAAAAAACATAAAAACTACAAAAAGAAAACACAAAAAACACCGAACGAAGAAGCGTCATATTATAAACACCATGAAAAACATACACACAA